CCAACCGATGCACATAGAAGAGGAAACTTTGTTCTTTGACCAAGGGTTGTTCGGGTCTATCAAGGGTACGGTGGTATGTGGAGGCCCCTTCTTTGGAGACATCCAGTGACGTCTGGCTTCCTTACCTATTTCTTTCGGTGGTTTAGGTTTGTACTTAGCGTACGAGGTTTCCTCCTATGCATTTGTAGCCTTGAGGGCCTAATCTTGGACATTACAAGACAACATCTTACGTGACAGTGGAATATGTTGTATGGACTTTGATTACTTACGTGCTTTAACTTGACTTCACAATACGATTTTAGGATTCGATTGTAGCGGTTTCACTAATAAGGACACCCTCCCCCCCCCCCATCCCAAAAAGCATTGGCATGTGCCTTTTTTAGCAAAATCGTCAAAGATATGGAAGTCGACTTCGACATACTGTTAGACAGAAAGCAGTTTTTGAGTGTCTTCGGGAGCTTCATGCTCAGGATTTTCTTCTAATTATCCCTATTGATGGCATCAGCCAGCATATGTCTCCTATGGAGCACCGAACTATCCTTCGTTATCGCTTCATAATTCCTCTATTCCCAATTGATGAGATATGCCCAATTTGTCGCAAGGCATGTTTGGACACTTTTGGGGAACATACAGTTCGTTGTAGAGAGCTCCCTGGTTTCAAGTACATACATGATGTGGTTAGGGATGTTCTCTTTGATGCTTGTCGTGTGCTGGTATTTTCGTGAAGAAATAAGCGATAGTAAACTTTTTGACAGACCCGCAAGATGGAAGATCCACACTCAGGCTGGCTGATATGTTGGTATTTAGATGGGTAGGAGGGAAGCACGCTTCTATGGATTTTACTGGGGTCTCTAATCTTGTTGGTTTGAGGAGCAGGGGTTTTACAGCAGGGTATGCCTCTTTGAAATTCAATGCATGCAAAGTGGCAAAGCACGAGAATGCATATATAGAAAATCAACATGTGTTTGTACCTTTTGCATTTGATACATTTGGTTTTCTCGCACCAAAGGCGGTGGAGCTCCTCAACAGAGTCCAACCGGTCATGCATTCTAATGTTATATCTCCTAGATCTACAGATGTTGTTTTCAAAAGAATTAGTTTTGGCATCCAAAAAGGACTAGTGGAACAGCTTGTTGCCTGTTTGCCTTTCGTCAATATGTATTGACCTTTTTTTACTCTAAAAACAAGACTTGAATCAAATTATTAAAACTTAACTGAAAAAAAATCCTCAAAGTTATGTATTTAGCAAGAGCAAGGTACTCTTCGGCCATGGGATGCCACTCAGGGTATTTGTTGGTGACGGTAAAGGATGTGGATTTGGTGAGATGTGAGCAGTTAGTGGAGTGGGAAAAATTGTGGCGCGATTACTAAGGTTTAAAGGAACCGTTGTGTGGGGTTTGGTCGAAGATTAGGATGTTGGCAAGGCAGGGGGTAGTAATGGTAAGGAGAGGTTTAGATCTACGGAGGTCGGTGAAAGAGAAACGGTGCAAGATAGTCATGTAGAATTGGGCGGAGTAGGGATATGTAATAGGGATTAGGTATTGAAGAATCTTGTTGAGTAGGATCAAGTGATTCGGACGACGATGTGCCAGGAACCACATGAGGTGGTACTAAGGAGGTGTAAGGGGATGTGTATGGGAGGGTGATGGTAAACAAGAATGTTTCTTCTTCAAAACGAACCTTAGGTAGACAAGTTAAAACAACGGTACCCATGATGTAAAGGACTAAACCCGAGAAAGACACATGGGTAGACTGAAAATCGATCTTGTGATGATTGTAATTATATGGCCAAGGATAGGGAAACCTTGTCATTTGAATACCCTAAGAAAAGAAACAGGTAGTCTGCGGGACCGGTAAAGAGATGTTCAGAGGGTGGGTGACTTGTTATGCAAGATGACATTTTAGCATGCACTTAATGAGAAAGATAGTTAAGTCAAATGTAAATTGCCCCAAGCGCTTATGAGTTAGGCATGTTTCAACGACACGTCATTGACAACGTTTGACAAAGCCATTTTGCTCACTCGGATATTTCACCACCAACAGACGCCATAGTTGTCATGGGGAGGTCAAGCAAGTTATGTGATGTTTACATTTAAACTTAATACCTCTCACTTATAGATTTTTACATAGTTAGCATCATCACAAACATGCATGGTCACAGGACACTCTACAACAAAAACAAAGTAGCAAGTTGCAATGATTGAAAATCTAAATTTCTTTTTTCTTGTAATGAATAAGAGCACAATTTGGTTAGACAACAAAAACTAAGTAGCAAGTTGCAATGATTGAAAATCTAAATTTCTTTTTTCTTGTAATAAATAAGAGCACAATTTGGTTAGACAGACAAGGTAAAATAAGTTTGGTGAATGAAGACAAAATACGAGTCAAAAAACAAGTCGGCGGTGTCAGACGTTCACAACCAAACCAAACCTAACTATTTTTTTTTTAAATCTCTTTCTTCAACCTATGTAACCCAACTAAATCCAAACTTCCACTCTCATTAACTCAACTGAAATCAATTTTTTATTAAATAAATATAAAATTTATAATTCTTTTTTATTCTATTAAAAATGTTTTATTTTTAAAACCCCTATATTATTTATTTAAGATATAAAAATATTAAAAAATAAACATAAAAATATTTAACATTAATCAAATATACTTAATAAAAATGATAAATCAAGTTATAAATTTATCATGAAATATTAAATTACAGATTAAAAGGTGCAAAATACATATTATTCATGACTACCAAATTTTTTCCATACGTGTTCAATCAAATTGTTTTCTAGACTGATATAAGCTTTTCTATCAAGAAGTTGTCCCTTATTGTTCATATAACTAGATAGACTTACAATTCGTTTGGTATGGTATTCAAAAGGCTTTTCATCATCTTGAGTATAGTTGCTTCGTTGCTAGTTTGCAAGCATGCCAATTAGAAACCCGGTTGGATCATAATAGTAAAGGTATGTGTCTCATTCATCTTCAACAATCATATTATAAATGATGGACATGTAATCATAGTTTTCCCCGTAATATCCTTATACCACACTAGATATGGAAGTCGAAGAAATGAAAAACAAGCTTGTAAAACTCTAAATGCTCGTTTAACATCTTTTCTGGGAGATTCTTGACGTTCATCAAACAACTTGTGTTTTCAGATTTGTGGAGCAGTTATTAACTTGACAAAGGCATCTCATGAAGGATAAATGTCATCAGTGAGATAATATGTTATATTACTTTCCCAACCATTCACATCGTAACTTACATTTGGTGATCAGTCTGCCAATACATCACTAAAAATAGAAGATTGATCGAGTACATTAATATCATTGCACGAACCTTGTGTTATTAAGAATGTGTGTCATATCAATAAGTCATACGATGCAACGACTTCCAAAATGATTTTTGTTTTATCACTTCTACCTGTATATTGCATAGCCTAGGCGGTGGAGCAATTTTTACATTCATAATGCACCAATCAATGAAAAGCTATTATACCTGAACATCCACGTTCTTTAGCAATTACATTAGAAACCTTACATTTTCATTTTCTTGTAGCCGCATTTCTACATGTTGAACTATTGTACCATCACGTTGGCATCTCTGGTTGGAGTAGTCCCCTACTTCTGTAGTCCTTGATCTTTTTATGTTACCCCCACTTTTTCCATTATCCTCCTCACATGCAAGATGTGAACGTGTTATGTCACGATCTTTCTATATCGACCACTTCAAATTTTTAGACATAACTTCATTAAAAAAAATTAAGTCGTTAAACTTGTTCCCATTTGCCTCATAAATTTTATGAGTTTTGTTCTCAATATCTTTATGATTCATTACACTTCTTTTTTGACGATATGTTTCATGGTAGGCACCAACCTACTTTTCGGTATTTTCGTTAAGTCGTTTACAACGATCTCTCATTTGACATTTGTTTTTCAATGTTTTGTGGGGTTTAAGATTTTCGATGATAGAAACTTGATTTGTATTAAAAAAAAAAAAAAAACTAAGTGTTTTCATAGTATTCTGTATTTTGATAATCTTGAGACCCACCAAGATTCAAGAAAAAATTATATGGAAAGATCCATGACAAAAATACAAAATCAAAAGAGACTGGAGAATCAGAATTGAATACAAATGTATGTAGATATTATATTTTATTTATAGGAAAAAAAATTATGAATTTTAATAAAACAATTATAGTTTTCGGTTTTCCAATATAATATAATTGTAGAATTTTTTTTTTAGATAATAACGTTATCTAAAATATATATTTGGTCCAATTAGAAAAGGCCATGTAGAAATATGATGTATGATTATCTTATTTATATATACTAAATTAATAAAATTACTTCCAACTAAAGGGCTTGACAGCGAAATCAATCGAATTGTATTTGACAATTTTCTTCTTGGTTTCTATTTAGTTAGCAAATTTACTAAAGCAATTACAATATGTAAGACATAAAAATGACTAAACTACCTTTTATTGATTTGTTTGATTCTTTTTATTTTATAAAAGGACTAAAAATTAAAATATACCAAAAAATCTTATTTATTTTATAAAAATATCCTTTCAACAAAATTAAATTAATTAAATATATAAAAACATAGATAGATCAACACAATACAATAGTGAAAATGAAGCGATAAACTCATCAAATTGGGTTTCACCAAGGTCCTCATTATCTACAATCCATTATAACTGTCTATTGATTGCACAGTATTAATCTTAAAACAAACAGAAACCCATCTGTCAGAACTATACATTACTGCCTCCTAAACAAGTTATGAGAAGGTCAACCATATTACTATTTGATCACTTGTTAATTACAAGCACTTCAAGATCTGTGTCTGTCTTTTACCATCTTTCCAACACAATTACAATCAGAAACAAAGAGTTGGTGGTGATGGATTGCTAGATTTGGATCCAACAATCTTGTAAATGTAAATCACACAAATAACTTCAATTTTAAGGTTTTACCCTATTTATCATTATATTGCAAGTATAGAAAACATCCCATCCAATATTTTGCAATTTTCGCTAAAACTGATGTAATCAAAACAAGCTTTGATATTTAATGTTCTTGGCTTTTATGTTCATACCAATTTGTCTTGGTACCTTTTCTATATTTGATATTTTTCGTATATATACACAATCATTGCAAGATTATTGGCGTTTAACCACAAAGCATATTATAACACACAAACAAAAAGCTGATTAAAAAATCATACCCCACCATTTCTTGTTGATATCTTTGCCCCCTTCACTTCTCAGGCATCTTTTCATTCCTATATAAAACCATCAAGAATTTAGAACACAAAACCATTTCCATTTCCATTTCCATCATCGCCCTTACAACTTCAAATCATATTCACATCCTACCAATAGTACTAACTAACTTAATCAGGTACTGGTTAATAACCAATAAACAATGTATGTACTATGTACTAGTTGTAAACCACACAAGTATAGGAATCCAGTCCTAAACCATATGCTGGTTTTCAAAAATAAAAGTATTCACGAATTTACATTAAAAAATTTTGAAAAAAAAAAAAAAAAAAAAAAGGTTACAGTCACACTAAAATCGCTTGGGAAGATTATCAGAAGGCATCTAATCCTTTTTGACTGATCAATAATTATCTATCTGTTTCCCAGACCATTTTAACAAGAACCATGCCCTTTTAGATGCATAAACACCAAGAATTCTCCAAAATTTGCAATATTTTTGTAATCATAATAACATTTGTTCAAAATACTAGATTGAAATGGAAACTTGAGCAAACACCAATAAAGATTTGCCTCTATGAAATGTCAAAATGTAACTTCATACAGAATTAGCATAAGGTAGAGTTTCCAGGACATACGCATACATATGCACTATGCAGACATTAAACAGCAACAGCAAGCAATAAGTGCCTAGATTAGACTCTCGTATCCAACTTCATACCAAAAGATTTATACGCACAAATAATCCTAGCAAATGGCCAAGATTCTAAGAGAAATTTGCAGAAACAAGTTTGCATGACATAAAGTATATCTTTCTGTTCTTCCAAGAACAAAACACTAAGATCTGGTTAGAGTTATAGCTAAATGTTCAAAAGCAACCAAAGATGCACATGGATTTATATGCTAAACAAGACACATCATCTATATCACATATTGCTTGAAAAGGATACTAACATGCTAGGAGGTATACATAACAAACTCAAAATAATCATGTGAATTAGCAATCAGAGAGATCGAAACTAAAGATGGTGAAAAGTCTTGGCACGATCAAAATCAATAGAGAAAACCAATAAAAGCAAGATCAGACGGCTATAAAGCAAGCATAACACATGACTCATAACATAGCATTTTAACCATACACCCACAAACATCATCATGCTTTTGACAAGGGACTAGAACTATAATCTAAATCAAACAGCCAGGAAACATTATCGAAAGTGGTCAATTTATCATAATAAAGCCATAATAGCAATAATCGAGAAATTCACTTCTTAAGGCTGCCACGAACACCAGGGCGAGGTTTCGATGTATCAGCAACAGGTGCAAGGATGGCATGGAGGTTGCTGATTTTAGATTCATCAAAGGGAATCTTAGGGTGCTTAGCATCATGATGAACCTGCATCGTTTTAACATCCGGTGCGGTAATCTTGCAGTGAGGGCACTCATACTTAGCATGACCGCCTTTCACCTGGCCGGTGCGATCAGCGACTCCGGCCTTGCCACCGCCTCTGTTGGTCGTCGCTGCGTCCACCTTCGCAGCGATTTCCTTCGCTGTGTGCTTCTTTGGCTTTGCTTTTCCCGTCATCGTTATCTGCTTCTACAAATGTTAGGGTTTCGATCGACGATTAGGATGAAGAAAAAAGGAATAAATGGAGAATCCTTAAAAACCACACGTGAAGAACCCTAATTTGAAGGGATGGCGACAATTGATACTTTGGACCTTGGTCTAAATTCCACATACATTTTGTCATTTATATCCATTGTTTTAAAATATGGGTCGATCTCGTTGGTTGAACGGGTTGGACCACGATCCAATAAAGAGATCTTTTTTTTTTTTTTTTTTTTTTTCTTGAAACGGATCTAAATTTATATATTTTTTATAGGACTTGAAACTTCACACCTCTAAAACAGAGGACAAACACCGGATATCGTTGGATTAAAAGTCATTTTGTAAAAGATCGCTAATTTTGAATAAGTTTTTGTTGATTATAACTTTTTGGGCAAATGATATAAAAGCCTTCAATTTTTCAAAAAAATATCAGTTTTACTTTTTAGCATATATATATCAAGTAAAGTTTGATGTTTTGTTTAATTTATTCATTTATACTCTTATAACCAGTCCAGGTTACCTACCGGTTACCTGAAGCCAGTAAAACTCTAAAGTTTTCAAAAAAACATTCGGAATTATCCTTAAATTTTCAAATATGTTTGGATTATTACTTTGATTATTGTCATTATTTTGATTAATTTGATTATTATTATTATTATTATTATTATTATTATTATTATATACTACATACATTTTGTCATTTATATCCATTGTTTTAAAATATGGATCGATCTCGTTCGTTGAACGTTTTGGCCCACGATCCAATAAAGAGATCGTTTTTTTTTCTTGAAACGGTAGGGAAATTTATTTCTAAACTACTCTCTAAATTTATATATTTTTTATGGGACTTGAACCTTCAACCTCAAAAACAGAGGACAACACTGAATATCGTTGGATTAAAAGTCATTTTGTAAAAGATCGCTAATTTTGAATAAGTTTTTGTTGATTATAACTTTTTGGGCAAATGATATAAAAGCCTTCAATTTTTCAAAAAAAAATATCAGTTTTACGTTTTGGCGTATAAGTCAAGTAAAACTTGATATTTTGTTTAATTTATTCATTTATGCCCATGCATAGCTTAATGGGACCCAATACTAAAAAAGAAGCTTAATAAAGACCTTAATACATGAATTGATCAATATCCTCTAGAAAGTTTGTGTTTTTTTAACAATGGACCTCCATGGAGCTAAGATCTAACATCTACTGCTTCTAGAGTAGATCAAAAGCTCAACTTTTACTTAAAAGACTCCAAAATGCAATAATAACACCATAAACTAGATCTAGCACAAATGACCATGAAGGTGAGAACTTTTTACCTTAAAAGGCTTGAATATGTGAAGGTAACTCTAGATCTACAAGATCAATTTATTCCTCCAAGTGTTCCTCTTCTTCTTCTTCGCCACAAAACACCAACAAACACACTTTCAAGTTCAAAACTCACCAAATGCACTTAGGCTTTCATTTTCAGGGTAAAGGGAGATGGAGGCTGATCAAAAATGTCAAAGAGCTGCTATAATGAGGTTTAAATAGGGTTCAAAACCTAAAAAATAGGGTTTGTCGAAACCGTGCGTACGTGGGTGATGCTCGCAACTAGCAAATAGCTAGTACGCTAAGCGTACTCATAGAGTACGCCCCATGTACTAGCCCAGGAGCAAAATGAAAAGAATTTGCATTGGACTATAAGGAAACTTACCAAAAACTTGAATCTTACAAGACAATTGTGAAACTATCCCATAATTCTTAAGACAATCATAGAATTCAGGACATAAATATTCTCCACCCTTATCGGATCGGAGCATCTCTATCTTTCTGGCCAATCGGTTCTCTTCTTCATTTTGAAACTCTTTAAACACCTCAAAAAAATTTGACTTATTCTTGATTAGATAGATATATCTATATTTGCTACAATCGTCAGTAAAAGTCACGTAGTATCTTTCTCCATGTCTTGTGGCATATTTGAATGGTCTACAAACGTCTGTATGGATGAGATCCAACAAATCCTTGCCTATTTCACAGTGGTATGTGAATGGTGCCTTTGCCATCTTGCCAAGTAAGAAAGATTTGCATACATTATCCGATTTAAGGTCAAATAATTCCAAGATCCTATCTGATTGGAGCTTGGCAGTGCGCTTCTTGTTTATATGGCCAAGTTGACAATGCCATAGACACGATTTATCTAATTCACTATTAAAAGAACCAAAATTCATTCATATTTAATCGACTTCACATATGCAAACAACACTTTCATACGCACCATTACAAGGACTAGATTAAAAAATAAAACAACCATTCGTATAAACCAAAATGTCACCGTTATCACTGTCAAAGAGAAACGACAACCATCCTTATAAAGTGCATGAAAAAAAATTTGTGTCATATCAAGCGAAAAGCAACAATACAATAAACTAAGATAAACATTACCACTAAGCATAATCTCATAGTTCCTAATCCTTGTAATAGCTGACTTGTGCTTGTTTCCCATGATCAGGTTGAGCTCACCATGCTTTAACTTGCTACTTTGTCTTAGTCCCTACATATTAGAGTAAATGTGAGTACCACATCCTGTATCAAGAATCCAAGAGTTAGACATAGATGTTCTATGGATTTCTATCATAAACATACCTGAGGTGCCAGTCACTTTGACTTTGCCCTTCTTAAGGTCCTCCAAGTAGTTAGGGAAAGTACGCTGATAGTGTCCCTTTGACTGGAAGTAAAAGCAAACGAGTTTACTTAGATCTGCAAAAGGAGTTATCTCAGCTTAGACCTTTCTCTTAGGGCCTTGGTCAGACTGTCCAACCTTACCCTTTACGATTCCTTTGGTATGAGAAACCTTTTTTCCTTTTAACAAAACCATGATCAATGACTAAGACTAGAGTAGCAGGGTTAGAGTTTTTAGGTTTCTTCATGCCCGCCTTAGTTGTCTTCAGCATTTCGTGCACCTCCATCAAGGTCTTATCAAGGTTCTTCATATTGAAGTTCAAGATGAACTGAGAATACGAAGAACTAAGCGAGTTCAAGACCATGTCAACGGTCAACTACTCAGGGAGCTCGACACCTAGATTCCTAAGTCTGTCTATGTACGACTTTATCTTTTGTACGTGCGCGCATACAAATGCTCACACTTTTTGTTTACATGCCATGAGGGACTTGACATCTCAAATCGTTCTTTCCTAGATTGCTCTTGGAACATTTATTCGAGTTTTTGGTTAATGTCAAAGGCGCCCTAATTTTAAAAGTTCTTTTAGAGACCATAATCCATTGCCACTAACAAAGGCAGGCCACTTTGGTTGATACATCGTAATGTTTGTTGTAGGCAGTAACTTCATCTAGGGTAGCATTATCTCCAAGTTCGGGAACATCATCGTCGAGAATACTCTTTGTTCTCATATCTCAACGTGAACCTTAAGGTTCTGATGCTATCAAGATATTTGGATTCATCATCATTGAGTCTTTCCCTGTTAAGCACTGATAGTAGAGAGAAGTTTGAGTTTTGAGTGGGACGAAGAAGAAGAGGATTGTTGTTGTTTTTTATTGGGATCGGCATCTACAAAAGATAAGATTCCAATTAGTTTGATATAAAATCCTTCATAAATAATCACCTTAAAACAAATTATTAATTTATGGCTAGGATCCATATTTGGCTTCATGATGTGTAAAGGGATGTCGTAAACACACCACAAAGTTATTTAGGTTGACAAAACTCTTTGTCAATTTCAATCACTATGAAATTCCTAGATCTTTGAGATTCATGAACTATCAATGGCATATTAAACTCGGATTATGTTCATCTCAAATTTAATGACGAGATTTCGTGAATGATTGAACAGATGGTGAATCACCCATACAAAATTGTGTAATCCTCAACACAAGTTATTTAAGAATTAATAAAAAAATTATTGTAATTAATTTCGAGATTATATGGATTAATTAAAAGTACAAGGATTTAAGTTGTAATTATCTAATAGTTGAAAAATAGGGAATTCTAGAACATTCCAAGGCTTGGACGGTTCTGGTAAGGATCCTAAGAGGATCTAGAATATTCCTTATAGATAACTAAGGGATTCGATAAATACCTAATCTCAGTTGCGAAAGTGTTTGGCTAATGATTATGCAGTGGTTACCTTGGATAACATTCAGGTTAATGAACGCTTGAATTATATAAAGAGGTTGATTGTTATCCTTGACAGATGAAGACCTTGCGCAACAAGGTGGTTAGCTTAGTGAAGGTCAGCACCAAAAGGATTTAGATTGGATATGGGAGCCCGAAGAGGAGACGTGGGAGCATTACTCGGAGTTATTTGTAGCAGAGGACTTCAAGGATGAAATCTGGTTCAACTGAGAGAGAGTTGTAACACCTGTATCCGCAAGTATAATTCTCTAAGGTTTATTTGGTATTTTGTTGCATTTTCATATACTACGTTGAGCGTACGATAGTCCCCTACATTGAGCATAGGTGAAAGATGTCATGTGGGGGATTAATGACCTATGTTGAGCATAAGTTGAGTTATGATGAACGTAGATACGTCGCACTAAAACCCTAATTATGGGGGCTAGGAACCCTATTTAAAAGCTCTAAGTCCTCGAGGGCCTCTCTTTGCTCATCCTCCATCCTCTTCTTCAGTCAACTCGAAAACCTAGCCACATTGTCTGGTTTTTGAAGCCTTAGAGTGTCTTTGTGTTCTATTTAAAGGTAGAAGGCATTTCTAGAGCCAAGTGTGAAGTATCAAGGTGTGTGGATCTAGGATTTGCAAGCCAACATCTATCTCAAGAAGGTATAAAGTTCCCATCTTGATGTTATTTTATGACAGATCTATTTTGGTCATAAATTTATATGCTTTTGTCCCATAACCTTGGTCTTTGAGAGTAAAGGTTGTTGGATTAGGTGTCTAAGCCCAACACTTTAATTAGTATAAACTTGAATTGACAATAGCACAATCATTATGGGTTGCCCTCAAACCTAGCGATTGGACATGATGTTTTTTGGAAAGAGAGGTTTATTTATTATTTGATTAATAAATTGAAATAAATAGTTTATAAATATATTATGAGAATAATACATTAATTAGAAATAGTAATATTTAATTAATAATTAATCAAAAATTAATTAGAATTACTTTTGGAATTAATAGT